CCCAGTGACTCCCAGTGTCCTCCCACCCCCTCCCCAGTGACTCCGGTGTCCCCAGGCCCCTCCCCAGTGACTCCTGGTGTCCCACCCCCCTCCCAGTGACTCCCAGTGTCCTCCCACCCCCTCCCAGTGACTCCCGGTGTCCCCAGCCCCCTCCCCATGCTCCTGGTGTCCCACCCCTCCCAGTGACTCCCGGTGTCCCAGCCCCTCCCCAGTGACTCCCGGTGTCCCCACCTCCATCCCCAGTGACTCCCAGTGTCTCCCAGCCCCTCCTCCAGTGACTCCCAGGTGTCCCCACCCCTCCCCAGTGACTCCCGGTGTCCCCACCTCCATCCCCAGTGACTCCCGGTGTCCCCAGCCCCCTCACCCAGTGACTCCCCGGTGTCCTCCCACCCTCATCCCCAGTGACTCCTGGTGTCCCCACCCCCTCCCCAGTGACTCCCGGTGTCCCCCAGCCCCCTCCCCAGTGACTCCCGGTGTCCCCCACCCCCTCCCCAGTGACTCCCGGTGTCCCCACCCCCTCAGTGACTCCCGATGTCCTCCACTCCCCTCAGTGACTCCTGGTGTCCCCACCCCTCCCAGTGACTCCCAGTGTCACCCCCTCCCAGTGACTCCCGGTGTCCTCCCACCCCTCCCCAGTGACTCCCGGTGTCCCCACCCTCCCTAGTGACCCTCAGTGTCCTGCACCCTCCCCAGTGACTCCCGGTGTCCTCCTACCCCCTCCCCAGTGACTCCCAGTGTCCTCCCACACCCTCCCCAGTGACTCCCGGTGTCACCACACCCGTGGAGACCCCAACCCCAGTGACCCCACTGTCCCCACACCCCTGGGGACCCTCACTCCACTGACACCACCCACCCTGGGGACCCTCACCCCAATACCCTTTAGTGATTCCTGGTGTCCCCACAGCCCCAGGGACCCTCACCCAGCTCCCCCCCAGTGTCCCCATCCCCTCCCAGTGACTCCCGGTGTCCCCACCCCCCTCCCCAGTGACTCCCAGTGTCCTCCCACCTCCCCAGTGACTCTGCAGTGTCCTCCCACCCCCTCCCCAGTGACTCCCGGTGTCCCACCTCCATCCCCAGTGACTCCCAGTGTCCCCATCCCCTCCCCAGTGACTCCCGGTGTCCTCCACCCCCTCCCCAGTGACTCCCGGTGTCCCCCCGCCGTGTCCCCCCGCCGTGTCCCCTCCCTGCCCTGCCACGGCTCACCACCGCCGCTGGCCCGGTGGTCCCTATCCCCCCTCGTCCTCGCTGTCACGCGCGGCCGCCGCGCTGCCACACGATGGCCTCCCGCTCGTGCTCCCTGCGGTAGAGGCTGGAGCGCTCGGACACGCTCACCCTGCGCACCACCTTCCTGCCGGCGGGAATTGCGGGGGCTCAGAGCCCGAGACCCAGAGCCCCGGCAGAGCCCAGGCCAGAGGCCTGGCAGAGCCCGGCAGAGCCCGGCAGAGCCCCCCGGGTGCCCCGGGGAGGGAGCGGGGAGGGCTCACCCGCGGCTGCCGGCGCTGGACGTGCGGCGCTGCAGCAGCGACTTGTGCTTCTCCTGAGACTTCATGAGGGCGGCGTGCTTGTGCTTCAGCTCCAGCAGCTTGGCCCGCACCTCCTCGTCACCGCACACGTCTGGGGTGACAGCTCAGGGTCACCCCCGGGCCACCTCACCCACCCCGCGGCCACCCCCGGCCCCCAAAAAACCCACCCAGGGGCGTCTCGTCCAGCAGGGATTTGGCGCCCAGGTCGGCGCCGTGAGCCACCAGCAGCTCCACCAGCTGCACCTGGATGAGGGAGAAGGGGGAAAAAAACGGGAAAAATGGGGAAGCGGGATGGGGATGTAACAGAAGGGTTAACTTTGTTCATAAAATCTTATGTGTATGAAGGAATAAGGGATTTTTGTTATAATTCAACAAGGTAAGTTTCATGGACATCCTGTTAATCAAGCAAGCGTCAGTAAAAATAATTGCACACATCTTGCTAAACAAACAAGTATCAGTATTGGTAAAATTTACAACTGATAAGAAACTGCACCTTTCATCTCTGACAAATACCAGATGACCACTTAAAAATGAGCTACAAACTGAAGCCTCAACGCAGCCGCATTCAAAACTCGGGACTTGGAAATGTAGAAAAAGGAACATTTACTACATTTTGGTGTGTGCCTCGGCAGGGTGTTTGCCCTCCAGGCCACCCAGCGCTGTTCTGCTTTATTATCGCTTGCTTAATAAATTTACCAATGTTTAATTGGGAATTGAGTTGTCTAAATTCTTATACTAACTTATAACACCTGGATGAGGGAGAAGGGGGGAAAAAAAACGGGAAAAATGGGGAAAAGCGGGATGGGGAGAGGCGGGAAAAGCGGGATGGGGTGTCCCCGGTGACACACCTGTCCCCAGCACGCCGCGGCGTGCAGCGGCTGCCACCCGTCCTCGTCCCGGCAGTCGGTGCCGGCGCGGTGCTCCAGGAGCAGCTCGGCCGCTTCCAGGTACCCGTTGGCTGCTGCCACGTGGAGCTGGTGGGAATAGAGGGGGATACCCGAGTTGGGGACAGCCCAGGGGGTGGGTGGCACTTCGGGGGGTGTCACCCGCGCTCACCAAGGTGGCTCCGTGTCCCCGCGGCGCGTCCAGGTCGGCGCCCGCCCGCGCCAGCTCCCGGATCTCCCGGATCATGGAGCGCTCCGTGGCCGCCCGAGCCTCCTCGATCCGCTCCTGGGTGATCCCTGCTGGGAAAGGGGACAAGGGGACAAGTGACAAAGCGTCCCCACAGCCTTGCCCGCCCCCCTCGCTCGTCATTCCCGGCTTTCCCCTCGCCTTGCTCGGCCATGGCGCTCTCCAGGAAATCCAGCGTGGCCTCGTCCTCGCACAGGTCGTAGGGCATGTTCCCGTCGGAATTCACCGCCAGCAGGTCGGCGCCGCTGTGCCGGGACGATTCCACGGGTCAGGGATGCCCCGTGGTGCCCGTGGGGTGCCCACGGGGTCCGTGCCCAGCCCGGGGTTCCCCCCGTACCGTTGGGTGAGCAGCTGGACCAGGCGCAGGTGGCCGCAGGTGGCCGCGGCGTGGAGCGGCGTCCACAGCTCCGTGTCCCGGGAGTTGACGTCGGCGCCGGCGTCCAGGAGCACCGACACCACCGAGCCCGCGTCGTCGATGCAGCACTGCCGGCGGGGAGGGACCCGCGTGGGCAGGAGGGACCCGCGTGGGGGTGGGAGGGGGTCTGGTGGGGCGGGGGAGGGGATGGGCGGGGCTGGGTGACGGCACGGGAAGGATGCGCAGCCGGGATAGCGGCATTTGGGAGATGGGGTGGGGAGGACGTGGAGCTGGGACACTGGGGACTCCAGTTAATGGGATGGGAAGGAGCCAGAGCTGGAATACTGGGATTTGGGATCACCAGATGGAGATGGCGTGGGAAGGGCCTGGATCTGGGACACTGGGATGTGGCATCACTGGTTAATGGGATGGGAAGGACGTGGATCTGGGATATTGGGGGTTGGGATCACCAGATGGAGATAGGGTGGGAAGGACCTGGAGCTGGGACAACAGGATCCAGCACTGCAGATTAATGGGATGGGAAGGACCTGGATTTGGGACACCTGGACTCTGGTTAACGGGATGGGAAGGGCCTGGATTTGGGACACTGGGACTCCAGTTAATGGGATGGGAAGGACCCACAACTGGAATACTGGGATTTGGGATCACCAGATGGAGATGGCGTGGGAAGGACATGGATCTGGGACACTGGGACTCCAGTTAATGGGATGGGAAGGACCCACAACTGGAATACTGGGATTTGGGATCACCAGATGGAGATGGCGTGGGAAGGGCCTGGATCTGGGACACTGGGACTCCAGTTAATGGGATGGGAAGGACCCAGAGCTGGGACACTGGGATTTGAGATTACCAGGAGATGGGATGGGAAGGACATGGATCTGGGACACCTGGACTCTGGTTAATGGGATGGGAAGGGCCTGGATTTGGGACACTGGGACTCCAGTTAATGGGATGGGAAGGACCCACAACTGGAATTCTGGGATTTGGGATCACCAGATGGAGATGGCGTAGGAAGGACATGGATCTGGGACACTGGGATGTGGCATCACTGGTTAATGGGATGGGAAGGACCTGGATCTGGGACACTGGGATCCAGCATTGCCAGTTAATGGGATGGGCAGGACTCGGGTGTGGGACACCGGGATGTGGCATCGCTGGTTAATGGGATGGGAGGGGCACAGAGCTGAGATTTGGGATCACCAGATGGAGACAGATGGGAAGGGCCTGGATCCGGGGACACTGGGATCCAGCATGGCTGGGTAATGGGATGGGAAGGAGCTGGCTGTGGGACACTGGGATCAGTGGGATCAGTGGTGAATGGGATGGGAAGGAGCTGGCTCTGGGACACTGGGATCACTGGTGAATGGGATGGGAAGGAGCTGGCTCTGGGACACTGGGATCACTGGTGAATGGGATGGGAAGGAGCTGGCTCTGGGACACTGGGACACGGGGATCACTGGTGAATGGGATGGGAAGGAGCTGGCTCTGGGATCACTGGTGAATGGGATGGGAAGGAGCTGGCTCTGGGATCACTGGTGAATGGGATGGGAAGGAGCTGGCTCTGGGACACTGGGATCACTGGTGAATGGGATGGGAAGGAGCTGGCTCTGGGACACTGGGATCACTGGTGAATGGGATGGGAAGGAGCTGGCTCTGGGACACTGGGACACTGGGATCACTGGTGAATGGGATGGGAAGGAGCTGGCTCTGGGATCACTGGTGAATGGGATGGGAAGGAGCTGGCTCTGGGACACTGGGACACTGGGATCAGTGGTGAATGGGATGGGAAGGAGCCGGCTCTGGGACACTGGGATCTGGGATCACTGGTGAATGGGATGGGAAGGAGCTGGCTCTGGGACACTGGGATCACTGGTGAATGGGATGGGAAGGAGCTGGCTGTGGGACACTGGGATCACTGGGATCACTGGTGAATGGGATGGGAGGGCTGGAGGGCAGAATTCCCGGTGCTGTTCCCGGTACCTGGTGCAGGGCCGTCAGTCCGTCCTCGTTGCACAGGTCGGGGCTGATCCCGCTCTGCAGGAACTGCCGCACTGGGGGAGGGACGGGACGGGAATTCCGAGGATCCCGAGGGCACCGCCAGGGAGGGATCCCAACGGCGCTCCCGAGATTCCCGGAGCGACCACCACCCTTCCCAAGGGAACTGCCAAGGAACCCAGTGGCACTTCCAAGGATCCCAACGGCACCACGAGCACCCGGTGCAAACGTGGAGAATCCCAGTGGAAGCACACAGAATTCCAGTGCCACTCCCAAGCATCCCAGTGCAAACATGGAGAATCCCAGTGGAACCACAGAGGATTCCAGTGCCACTCCCAAGCATCCCAATGCAAACATGGAGAATCCCAGTGGAACCACAGAGAATCCCAAGTGCCACTCCCAAGCATCCCAATGGAAACATGGAGAATCCCAGTGGAACCACAGAGAATTCCAGTGCCACTCCCAAGCATCCCAGTGGAAACATGGAGAATCCCAGTGGAACCACAGAGAATCCCAGTGCCACTCCCAAGCATCCCAATGGGACCACTGAGCATCCCAAGGGCACTCCCAAGCATCCCAGTGCAAACATGGAGAATCCCAGTGGAACCACAGAGAATTCCAGTGCCACTCCCAAGCATCCCAATGGGACCACTGAGCATCCCAAGGGCACTCCCAAGGACTCCAATGGCACTCCCAAGGACTCCAATGGCACTCCCAAGCATCCCAATGGAAACATGGAGAATCCCAAAGGAGCCACGGAGAATCCCAAGGGTGCTTCCAAGGACTCCGGTGCCACTCCCAAGCATCCCAGTGGAACCACGGAGAATCCCAATGGAATCACTGAGCATCCCAACGGCACTTCCAAGAATTCCAGTGGCACTGCCCAGCATCCCAAGGATCTCAGCAGCATCCCAATGGAACCTCCAAGTATCCCAACGGCACTTCCAGGGATTCCCAACGGCACTGTCAGCATCCCAGTGGAACCACGGAGAATCCCAATGGAACCACTGAGCACCTCAATGGCACTTCCAAGGATTCCAAGGGTGCTCCCAAGTATCCCAGTGAAAGCACGGAGCACCCCAGTGGAACCATGGAGCATCCCAACGGCGCTTCCAAGGATTCCCATGGCACTGCTGAGCATCCCAGTGGAACCACTGAGCTTCCCAGTGGAACATGGAGCATCCCAATGGCACTTCCAAGGATTCCCATGGCACTGCTGAGCATCCCAGTGGAACCATAGAGAATCCCAAGGGCATCCCTGAGCATCCCAATATCACTTCCAAGGATTCCCAGGGCACTGCCAAGCATCCCAGTGGAACCATAGAGAATCCCAAGAACATCCCTGAGCATCCCAATGGCACTTCCAAGGATTCCCAGGGCACTGCTGAGCATCCCAGTGGCACTGCCAAGGATCCCAGTGGAACCACTGAGCTTCCCAATGGAACATGGAGCATCCCAATGGAACCATGGAGAATCCCAAGGGCATCCCTGAGCATCCCAAAGGCCCTTCCAAGGATTCCCAGGGCCCTGCCAAGCATCCCACTGGCACCACTGAGCCTCCCAGTGGAACATGGGGCATTCCAAGAACATCCCTGAGCATCCCAATGGCACTTCCAAGGATTCCCAGGGCACTGCCGAGCATCCCAGTGGAACCACTGAGCCTTCCAATGGAACATGGAGCATCCCAATGGCACTTCCAAGGATTCCCAGGACACTGCCGAGCAGCCCAATGGAACCACTGAGCTTCCCAGTGGAACATGGAGCATCCCAATGGAACATGGAGCATCCCAACAGCATCCCTGAGCATCCCAAAGGCCCTTCCAAGGATTCCCGTGGCACTGCCAAGGATCCTGGCGCTCCAGCATCGCCCCGTCCCAACTCCCATCACGCCAACACCGAGCACTCCACGCCCTCCGTGCCCCCGGAAAAAGCGGGATACGGCGCTCCACGTGCCGCAGCCACGCTCCCACCTCGCTCCCGGGAACATTCAGCAGCAAAACCGGGATTCCCCACCCCGATTCCGGGAATCCCGGGCTCTCTCACCTTCGTCGGCGTCGTGCCGGGCGGCCGCTTCCAGGAGGCGGACGCTGGCCGGGAACGTCACCCTCCTGCCGGGGCCGCCGCTCTTCCTCCTCCTCCTCTTCCTCTCGGCCCCCGCCCTCGCTCCCGGCGCCTCCTTTTCCGCCTGGGCCCACTTTTTGAGCTGCTGCGC